GAGTTGGATTTGACTCAAGGAACCTAACAACAATATATCTTCTTAAGCATTTCAGTTATACAATTATATTCATTTACAAGTAAATGCAGTGAATGTTACTGTATTTTCAGAATATTCATTATAAACTTGTTCATAATAAAATGTTTGAAGAATAAATGTAAATAAAAAATCTAAAAATAATAAATACCTAAGGATATCGTCACTTTGTATGACAATGCCTTATCTAATAAAAATAATCAGAACAGTATAAATACACTTATTTTTGTGATATCTCTCCACTTTTTCATCTAAATTGTCTGATATTATATACCAGATAGCCAAAATTTGCCTTGCTTTTATTCCTCAGTTGAAACTGGAAAGCCATATAATTCCTGGCAAAGTATGTAAAATTGAATTCTACACATATGAACAATCTGCATTATGCAAGTGACACAATCCTGCTTGCTAAAACTGAGGAGGACCTGAAGCACTTGCTGCAGAGGGTCAAGGACTGCAGCCTCTAATATGGATTGAGGCTTAATATCAAGAAGACAAAGATTCTCACCCCTGGGCCAATTGGCAGCATCAGGATGGATGGTGAAGTGATTGAGATTTTTCATAGCTTTAGTTTGCTTGCCTCCACAGTCAACACTCTAGGCACCAGTAGCCAGGAAATTAAAAGGCATATTGCCATGGGAAAGCCTGCTGTTAGGGACTTCTCCAAAGTACTGAAGAGCAATGGTGTCTCTCTGGAGATTAAGGTGCAACCACTTGTTATATGCATCAGAGAGTTGAACAATGACCAAGGAAGGTAGAAGGAGAATTGATGCCTTTGAGCTGTGGTGCTGGAGAAGAGTATTGAGAATACCATGGACTGCTAGGAAAACAAACAGATTTATCCTGGAAAGGGTTAAACTGGGTGGCTCCTTGGAGGCAAGGATTCTGAGACTCCATCTAACATACTTTGAACATGTTGTAAGGAGGGACTGGTTCTTGGAGAAAGACATCATAGTCGGTAGGGTCGAGGGACAGTGCAGGAGGGGAAGGCCCTCTATGAGGTGGATTGATTCAGTGACTGGGTAATTGGAATGGGCATATTGGAGACGGTGTGATTGGCACAAGACAGAGCAGAGTTTAGGGTTGTTGTTCATAAGATCACTATGAGTTGCAAGTGACTCGATGGCACATAACAACAACAACACACATATGAAGAGACTATATAAAGGTCATATTCCCAGGGAAAGGAAGGGCTGTGCCCTGCCTGTTAAGTATGATGCAAGTGAGAGCACTTGTTGCCTACATCCCATCAAAGATATTGGACAATTCGAGATAGAGAAGATCACAAATGTAAATGGACGGTTAACATAATTTTAGAATTCTACCACACAAATGTCCTGTTGTTAGGTGCCTTCGAGTCAAGTACGATCCATAGCAATCCTGTAAATAACAGATCTGAGCAAGTCCTGTCCTGTGCCATCTTCCTGACACACTGAAGCCCTTTGCTGTGGTAGTAACTTGGTCAATCCAACTGGCTGAGGGTGTTCCTCTCTTTCGCTGATGCTGTAACTTTCCAAGTGTGATGTCCCCCTCCAAGGAATGGTCTCTCCTAATATCCTGCCCAAAGCATGTGAGATGAACCTTTATCACATTTGCCTCCAAGAAGCACTCTCGCTGCATCTTCTCCAAGGCATATTTGTTTGTTCTTTGACAGTCTATTGGATATTCAGTACATAGAATACTCTCCAACGCCACAGTTCAAAGGCATTAATTCTTGTGTCATTCAACTGTTGTCCAGTTCTGAGATGTATTGCAAGCAATTGACAAGACTATGGCCTGAAGAAGGCACACCTTATTCCTTGAACTGATATTATTACTCCTCAGTAATTTGGAGAGGTTCCTGACTGCAGACTTTTCCAAGGCAATACGTCTCCTAATCCCCTGACTGCTGGTGCCAAGTGTGTTGATTATGGATCCAAGAGAGATGAAATCTTTGACAGTTTCAATCTTTTTTCCATCTATCATGATGTTGCCTGTTAGTCCAGTGATGAGAGTTTTTGCTTTGACACTGAAATGTAATCTGTACTAAAGGCAGTGTTTTCTGATCTTCTGCAGCAAGAGTTTCAAGTCTTACTCACTTTCAGCAAGTAAGTTTATCTGCGTATCAAAGGTTATTGATGAGTCTTCCTCCAGACCTGATGGCACAGTCTTTTTCAAAGAGTCCAGCTTCTTAAATAATTTGCTCAGCTGATGCATACTTTTCTTAATTTTAAACTATGACATGTTTCCTTGCTCTGTTTGTGAAACAGCCTCTTGAAACCTAATGGGAGGAGATTGTCCTTCTTTCTCTCGCAGAGTTACTTTTGGATTTCAACAGTGACAGAGGCATAGTCTTTGAGTTAGCAGCAGACATAACCCCCGAAGGAAAAGTTCCCAGTCCTCCCTAAAGTGGAAGAAAGATGTAGAATAGGAGGTCAGAATCAGAGGTATGTTTGATGTTGTTCTATTTCTAGTTTCAGTGATGAAGAAATGCAAATCATTCCTAAAACCCAAATCAAGAAGTGGTTGACATTAAACTTAGCAAAAAGGCTTTAAAATTGGGGAGGGGGGGTGTTTCAGAAATGAAAAGGTGCCTGGAAACTGAAGCTTGCTGTTTTCCGAGTTGCAGCTCTCACTACGGAGGAAGACTTTAGGGAAAGGCTTTCCCAGAGGTCATTAATAGTTTGCGTCATTCTCTTTAGATAGTTCTTATAAGAGTGAGAGAGAAAAAGGATTTTTTACAAAGGATCCTGGAATATGGCAGATTTCAGCAAGTGAGAGAGAGAACCAGAACCAATGAAGACTGGCTTCTGAGCTTTTAGGGTCTAAGACCCTCTGACATTAATTATTCACAAGGCAATACCAAAGGCTATCATCTTTCCCCCACCCCAGCTTCTCTCATTTACCTATTGATGAGATAAAAACACAAAGCAAAACAAAACTTGGAAAATACTGGTGAGATATTTTTATTCTTCTAGAACTAATTTCTCTATAGTCAAGATTTGTTTTAAACAAAACACAACAAAAATGGCTAAATTGATCCAAATGTCTTTACTTTGATCACCTTTAATATATTAACCTGACACTTTTCAGAAGAAGAGAATAGCACTGTTAATATGATGGTTAAAATGTGAACCTAATCATGACTAAGTGATAAGGTAGTATGAATATGAATAAGAAACAATAAATCAAAGTATTTACCTTTTCAAAAGCAAGTGAAGGCTCATCATGTTTGAAATGCACAGAAAGGGTTGGAAGTAATCTTTTGAGATGGATATTGGTCTGAGGAGACCTATGATATGAATAGTGGGTGCACAATTCAGACCAGTACCTAAATAGCTATTGTATGCTGGTAAGATTCATGTAACATAATTCACAGTTGTACATCTATAATCTGAGCTCCCTTAATCCATATTCAGACATGACGGGAAAGGCACAGGCTAGGGCAGGATTCAGGTCGGCTGAAATTCAGTCGTTTGCTATGCATCTGAGAGTTGGACAATAACTAAAAAATGACAGAAGGAGAATTGAGATCTTTGACATTTTGTCTTGGAGGAGGATGCTGATGATTCCATTCACTGCTAAAAGAACAAAGAGATATGTCTTGGAGAAGGTGCCACCAGAGAGCTCCTGGGAGGCAAAGGTGATGGAGTTTCATCTCTCAGACTTTGGGCATGTTGCTAGAGGAGGTTTCACTGAGGATAGACATTTCACTCAAGATAGACATATTTTACTAATAAGGTTTTTGGATCTCTCTTCCTCTCTCTCTCCCTCCCCCTCTCCCTCTCCCTCTCCCTCTCTCTCTGTGTGTGTGTGTGTGTGTGTGTGTGTGTGTGTGTGTGTGAGAGATGACATAGTCTGTATCCTATGTTGTTGTTGCTAAGTGTTGTTGAGTATGACTCACTGCAAACTCATAGCGACCCCATGAACAACAGACATGAACTCTGTCCTACCCTGTATTCTCTTTTTGATCCTTGACACATTTGAGTACATTGCTGCAGACACTATCAATCCATCTAATTGAGGGTCTTCCTCTCCTTTGTTGAGCCTTCCCAAGCATCATGTTCTTTTCCAAGGAATAGCCAGCCTCTCCTAGCATCATATCCAAAATATGTGAGGCTGAACTTTACCAACTTTGCCTCCAAGAAATATTCTGGTTGCAACTTTCTCCAATACATATCTGTTTGTTCTTTTGACAGTCCATGGGATATTCCGCACTGTTCTTAACTGCTCTCAACACCGTAACTCAAATGCATCAATTCTTCTAGAATTCTTACTCATTTTCCAGATCTCAGAGGTACAGTGGGTGATAGAGTTAAGCCAAAATTGTGTCTCCATCAGATCGGGGATGCCAGAGTTTCCAAGGAAAAAGATAGGCAGCCTCTTCCTGTTAAGATTTGTGGCCTTGGGAACCCAGTGAAGGGTCACCATGATTCACTGGAAGTGAGTGATTATTTTCTAAACAAGTACTCAGAGATTCCTTCTAAGAGGCATCTGAGTAGACCTGACTTCTCCAACTTTTCAGCTAGCACCTAAATGCATTGCTGTTTGTATCATCTGCATTTTCGTAAATATAAAAGTTCTTTTAAAACCAGATATAGTATATCTACAAAATAAAAACTAATTAAACATTTAAAAGCAAATAGATGAATAAATCTTAAAAAAAAACACCCAACACCACAAAACCACAAAAGACATTTAACTCCTGACTTGACAGGTCATGAAGAGAATTTACTTAAACTTTATGGACTATGGTTCCTTATCTGAAGTGATTGAGGAGACAGCTATATAAATCAAAGATGATCAGAATGAGCATATTTCCTTTAACCTGACCCTGTACATCAAACACAAATATCCATTTGCCATTTTCACCTGCTTTGATTATACACTTTTTCTCTACAGTAGGTTTAATGCTGTCAGTGTTTTGTTTGTTTTTCCAGACAACTACTTTTTCCCTTGAGAACTTGGCCTGCTGGATTAATTCCATGGAAAAACTAAACAATGTGACTGTGTTCATTTTCTTGGGCCTCTCTCAGAATCCAGAGGTGGAAGAAGTGTGCTTCGTGGTGTTTTCTTTCTTCTATGCTGTAATTCTTCTGGGAAACCTTCTCATCATGCTGACAGTATGCACAGGCAATCTTTTCAAGTCTCCTATGTATTTCTTTCTCAACTTTTTGTCTTTTGTAGATATCTGTTACTCTTCAGTGACAGCTCCCAAGATGATTGTTGACCTACTAGCCAAGAGTAAGACGATCTCCTATGTGGGGTGCATGTTGCAACTCTTCGGGGTGCATTTCTTTGGTTGTACTGAAATCTTCATCCTGACTGTTATGGCCTATGATCGCTACGTGGCCATCTGCAAACCCCTGCACTACATGACCATTATGGATCGAGAGAGATGCAATAAAATGTTGCTCGGGACCTGGGTCGGTGGGTTCATGCACTCCATAATCCAGGTGGCTTTGGTGGTCCAGCTACCCTTTTGTGGACCTAATGAGATTGATCACTACTTTTGCGACGTCCACCCCGTGCTGAAACTGGCATGCTCAGACACATATGTTGTTGGTGTTGTTGTGACAGCCAACAGCGGGACCATTGCCCTAGGGAGCTTTGTGATCTTGCTAATCTCCTACACTGTCATCCTGGTGTCCCTGAGAAAGCAGTCTGCAGAAGGCAGGCGCAAAGCTCTCTCCACCTGTGGCTCCCACATTGCCGTGGTCATCATCTTCTTTGGTCCCTGTACTTTCATGTACATGCGCCCTGACACTACCTTTTCTGAGGATAAGATGGTGGCTGTATTTTATACAATTATCACGCCCATGTTGAACCCCCTGATTTATACGCTGAGAAATGCAGAAGTGAAAAATGCAATGAAGAAATTGTGGAGCAAGAAGATTTTCTGGGAGGCGAATAGCAAATAGTTTGAAATCATTATACTTTCAGCAAGACGACTTTCATTTTCTTCAATCCTGTTTAAGGCATCTGTTGAGTTAATTCAAGGTACCAACTTTGCAGAGCCCCTTTGGGAATACACCTATGGTGCATCTTTTCTCAAATCCATCGCTGTCAAGTTGGTACTGACTCATAGCTGACTCTCCAGTGGGTTTTCAGATACTTTTAATTATATAAGAGGAAATTATCCATCTTTCTCCCATGAAGCAAGTGATGTATTAAAACTCACCGAGAGGTGCTACCTTTGGATTAATAGTGCAACCCCGCTGATTAGGCCAGCAGAGTTCCTTATTATTGATCAGTAATACTATATTTATCCCAATGTTTTATAATCAAATTATTCATCAAAATATCTAGGCTAGAAGTTTTTATTAAACTCAGAATAGTATCATAGTTTTACTAAGATAGTATTAGTACTAGTAGTATTATATCATTGTTTTTCTTCTCATTCTTGCCTATTTTCCTTGAACAGTGAAAATATATTTTTTGGATAAAATTGTCATTTTATACCACTTTATTTACAAAGTTTGTATACATTGTTTCTCACACTGGATCTTTCCGCATTCCCCTTTTCCTCTTTCCCATTTCTCCCTCCACCCCTCAAATCCTGAAACCTTATGATTAAGCCCCCTAAAGCATGCTGATTTAAGTTCTCCTAAAGCAAAGGTTCTTACAAAAAGTAAACCTAGAGATTGGGAAGGTGTATAGCGCGCGCGCGCGCGCGCGCACACACACACACACACACACACACACACACAGATTATAAGTATAAAGGATAATGGATATTTTCTAATTCTCTAGAAACTTTACCTGGAATCTGCAGCCCAAAATCTACGCAGGATGGACCTTACCTGATGGGCTGCATAGGAAACAGATTGACTACATTTGGGGTAGAAATTGTTGGTGAAGCTCAACCCTTCTGCCCCCCTCCCCACTTTGAATCCTGCTTCAAACTGCGAGTGGCACATATTAATCTCACTCAATAGGCATAGTTGGTATGGGATAAAAAAGTACTAACAGTGGCGAGGACCTAAGCTAAAGCTTGCTGTTGTAGGTCCTCCTAAAACAAAGATTCTTGTGAAAAGCACACCTAGAGATCAGGAAGGTGTGTAGAACACACACACAAAAGGATAAATTTACAAGTATGAAGGATAATGGATATTTTCTTATACTCTCATCGTGGAGAAAAATAAACAACACCAAACTTTCATGTAAGACTCATTTTCTTTGTCAAAACAATAAGGATATGGGACAAATTTATTATCTTCTGATTATAATTATCTGTGAATTTGCTGCTGTTAACTGACTGTAACCTTTTCCTGGAATCTGCAGCCAAAAGTCTACACAGAATGGATCTCACCAGATGGGCTGCATAGCAAACAGATGACTACATTTGTGATAGAAATCAATGGTGAAGGTCATTATTGGCAGTCAAACCTAGATTGGGGCAGACTGTGGGTCAGATAATCAATTTCTCATAGGCAAATTCAAATTGAGGCCAAAGAAAATTGTCCTATAGGTTATACTTTATATAACTTTTATAAAAACAGATTGCCAAACCTTTGTCCTAAAGGGCTACTGGTGATTTCAAAATACCAAGTTCTGGTTAACAACTAAACCGTTAGGTATTACATCATATTACTTCTAAATAAGTTATATACTTGTAGAATTGAATGAAAAACAAAAAGATTTTCATCATCTACCTTGAGTCTTCTAATTTTCAGAATATACTACATTTAGACTTGTGCTTGTTTCTATAGTTATTTACAAGTAATGATCATATGTATGAAATAACTAAACAGAAAAAATTACAATTGTTTCAGAATTCATTATAATATTAATTTTAAAAAATAAGCCTAGTCACATCTAGTCACTGTTGACTCATAAAAACTCTCTCTGGGGTTTAAAAGGCTGTAAATAATTAATAATAGCATGGCACTGTCCTTCTTTCTATTTTTGCCACAAAGTGACTGGTGGACTTGAACTGCCAACCTTTTCATAAGTAGCCCACTATATTATGCATTATGTCACTGGGACTCCTGTAGTAGGAATAGTACAATTGCACTGCATTTCATAATTTGTTCAATGTAAAGACTTCAAATGAAAAACATTTCTAAAATGTCTTTACATTGCTTTCTTTTTATTGTCATGGAAATTAGACACACAGAGAGCCCACCAAAGTGTCTGAAAGCTGTGTCACAGATATCAATCAAGATATCTATTTCCTAAAGTATGGCAAGACTTCCAAACAAAGCAGTTTTTATAATTCTGTGCTGTTTGTAGGTGCCCTTGAGCTTTCTTCAACTCATAGTGACTATTCTCATAATTCGTCCTGCTAAGAATAGTAACAGACTATTTATGAGAAGTCTCAGGTCCCAAGTGCTTAACTAGCTATATGAGTCCCGAATTTCTAACAGCTTCATCCGTGGCTCAGTTCCCCAATTCCTCTATGATCCTTGGGTTCAGATTCCCTAAAAGATCTTCCAGAGACTCAGACCCGTCAGGGGAAGGATTCATGTGGCCTTAGGTCCGTGGGCTGGTCTTGGAGAAACTGGTGAGCATGGGCCAGGATCCTGTAGACTATAACTTGGGACACAGCTAGACGGTGACTATGGATGATGTGATGCAGGCTGGTTGAGTGGAGACTGGTGAGCAGCAGGAAGCTAGGTACCAGGCAAACAAGCTTCTCCAAAGGTCTCATGACCTTATATAAGCCTCTAGTAGGGTGGTCCATCCTTATCCTCGCTCCTTAATACAATAACTACTTCAGCATGTTGTTGTTAAGAACTGTTGAGTCAAATACAATTCATAGCGACCCTATGAACAAAAGACCTGAACGCTGTTCTATAACTATTGTCATTTTTGTAATGTTCATAGAGTTTCCAAAGGCCCATTGTGTAAGAAGTGGATGCCAATCCTGCTTCCAAGGCTGTCTTAGTCGGGGAGCTCTACCAAACCCTGTACACTATGGGTAATCATTATGACATTTGAATACTTGAGCATAGAGACTATTATTCCCTATTTCTTTTTCTTCTTGCGATTATAAAATTAAACTAAGTGTTGTAATAAACATTTGTCTGTATAGACAATAGGAATAATGAGTTGTTGCTATTGAGTTGAATCTGACTCATAGAGATTGCAAAACAGAAGAGAACTGCTCTCATAGAGTTTCCTAGTCTTTAATGTTTATGGGAGGAGTCTAGTACAGGAGAGAGCGAGAGAAGGATGAACAGTCTTCATAATTGCCTCTGAAACCCCACTGGAGGGTCAGCTATGGGTCAGTTAGAACCAGACAGTACACAACAACAAAAACAGGAGAGAACACCCTGGATGAGATGGATCGATGCAGTGGCTGACATAATGGCAGTAGGTTTGTCAGAGACCATGAGGTTGGTTCAGGGTGTGGCAGGCTTCGGAGCTATTGTACACAGGGTTACTGTGAGTTACAGGTGATTATGTGGCACTAACAACAAACAAAGAGTAGTGGGCAGGCTTTAACCAAAGGTCTTTAGGCTAGCAGCTCAAGCTTTTGCACACATACTAAAAAGACCCCATACAAAATTCCAGAAATGAAAACTTTTAGAGGTATTTGGTATCTTAAACAGACCAAGGTGGCAGACAAGAAAATGAAAGGACAAATGATGATTGTACAAATATAAAAAGCAGGAAGGGGAGCGGGGGAAATGTCATTTGTATGTGAAGAAAGCCAAATCTACTACCACAAAGTTGATTATGATGCACGGACACCCTTTATCTAGTTTCTGAGGTTATAAATCTTTATAGAGGGATATCATCTTACTTTACTGCAGAAAAGTTGCTCATAGATTTGAAAAAGTAAAATTTCAGAAACCCATCAACTTTACTTATAAAGCACTATGTAATCAGGGTTCATTGTATGAGAGGGACTAGATTAGAAAAGCAACGTTCTTGTCTGAGACCCCAAGTTGCCCTTCCTGCATTAGGAATTGGGTTTTCTGGATCTTAATATTTGTTTACAAGTACAAAAGAGTCACTATAGTATGTACAGGTTCTATGCTGAGAGCTATAAATATCCTCTCCAAAGGAGCATATATTAATAACAAGGGGTCTGATATGGTTCAAGTTGTGAGTCAGCTTGGCTGCCAATGATTTATTTGGTTTAGCAGCAATAATGTAGTCATTACTCTGATGAGATCTAATATGCTATAATCATTTCCTATTGGATATCTAATATAATCAGATCTGCTATGATCAGCCAAACAATTGAATGGGAGTTCCATCAGTGATGTGGCTCACATCAAAACACATGAACCTGTGACAAAGCTCTTACTCTTTGCTCTTTATGGATCCTTCATCTGTTCTTTGGCTCATAAGACTCAAAATTGTGGCCTATTATATGGCATATTGTCTTCAAAATGTTCTTGAAATGTACATTTAAAGATATGTTCTGGTGAACTCTGGTGGCCTAGTGGCAAGAAGCTGCACTACAATTCTAGCGATGGGCAGTTTGAATCCACCAGATGCTCTGCTGGAGAAGGAGGGACAATCTCCTCCTGTACCAGTCAGATCCAATTTGATGGTACATGCACAAAAAATAATAAATAAATTTTAAAAAGATACATTCTGAAATAAAATACTGTCACTGATAAAATATTATCTATATGAATACAACAGAGCTCTATTAATATGTTATTGTTGTTTTTATGTGCCATCGATTCAACAACAGCTCTTAGAAAAATGGCTATGAGCCCTCCTCTATCCTGAGCCAATCTCACTATCTCTGACACATCTACGCTCATTACCCTAGTTATTATGGAAAAACTTTCCTACACACTGTCTCTCAGCCCTTCCAAGCATGATATCCTTCTCCAAAGACTGATTCCTCCTGGGTACATGCCCAAAGTATCTGAGATAGAGTCTCTAAATCCTTGCCTCCAAGGAACAGCTTGCTTTCACACTCTATTATGCAGATTTATAGAGCAAACAGGAAAGCCAAAGATGGAGGAAAATGAGGAATTCAGCAAGCTTGAAACCACTCTGAAATTGAGCAAATATGTGATAAAGATGCATTGTTAATAACAACTATGAACTTTGATAAATAACAATAATTGTAGAAAGGCTTCAGGCCTTTTGTTCATAGGGTCACTATGAGTCATGCTTG